TTGTTATCAACACATCTGTGTGGAAACTTCCAGCCTAATAATGTGCAATAATGAATCTTTGCAAGTTACTGCAACATGTTAGGCCATGATCCAGGAAAGCAGTGAAGTGTATATGTACACGTAGGCTTGTCCGTTTCATTTGATCAACGCTGGATGCCTTTCTGATCTTCGGATCTAGACCATTTTCTAGCCTTACTGACAATAATACTGTAGCTTCATTGTCCGGCATTTACATCAGAAAAACAAAAACAGAGCAGCTTGAAAGTCAGCATGACTAGAAAATGCAATAATTCAAGCTGTTATGGTTTATGGTTATTACCAGTAGAGGATATTAAAGTAATTCACTGACATGATATACAAGGCTTGTGATAATTTCCCTCCAAAAAATTGAAGGGCAAGAGAATAAGACATGGTTTGTGTTTGTGTGCCATTAGAATTGAAAAGCTCAGTATTTCTGATTTTTTTTTTTTTTGGTCACTTATTCTTGTGGCTTTTGATAAGACCTTCCCCGCTGCTAACTCCCATATTGCTGCTCATTCTTTAAAACAGCTAGAAGCAGCGTGGCAGCTGACTTCCAGAAGGTGATGTGTGTTAGAGCTGTATTAAACAAAAGCCCTGATTTTCTTGGAAGTAACATTTTTAATATTAGGATACCTGCTAAGTCCCTTGGTGCTTTGCCAGTAAATATAACTCTGAACCTAAACTGCTGTGCAGAAATGTGTATAATTGTAAGGCTGGGTTTGTTTGCTGTGGGGTTTTATTAGTATTATTGTTATTAATAGCTTTTGAAGCAAAATATTTTAGCCTCCTGGACACATTTCTATAGAGAATAAAAGTAGGAAGCTCGAGTAGCCATGAGTATTACTACTTTTGTAGTTAATTTGGTTGTGTAATTGCAGGATTTGCCAGTCAGAGTGTTTCAGAAAACTTAACAGAATATCTGTTTTCCATGAGGATGTCAGGATATAAATATAAGCATTAAACCTTGCTGAGCTAGAAGCAGTTGAATGCAGGAATCTGTACTGTAGCTAAAAAGCAAAGGATATCCCTTCTGGGTCTCGGGCATTAAAAGGACATTTTGCTAATTACTTTTATTTTGACCAATGCCTTCACTACAAACATTGCTGACTATAAACGTGAAAGATGTCCTGTGGTGGCTGATGGGATCTAACATACCCAGTGAGATGTGAGCCGCCACGTCAGATCTCTGTCACTCTGCTGTCAGTGACTGTGTGCTGCATTAGGCACCGCGTCATCAAATGTGAAATGACATGAGATGACCACAGGGTATAGAAAACTTAAAAGAAAGCTCCCAGGCCCTTCCAGTGAGTTCAGACAGGAAACTGGTATTTTGCCATGAGGCTAGCGGGTGCCCACATTGCTACCTAGGACGTGCATGAGGCATGCAGCAGGGAAGCCGTCTCCAGCTGCCATACCTGACCAGGCCAGTAACACCAAGAGCTTCAGAGGGAGCCTCCTTCAGCTTCAGCTCTGGGACACCAAAAGCTGTAACACGGAGAATAGTGACCATGTCACCATGGAAATGTCATGATTTCTACCACGCGCTTGGTGGGGAGAGAGGAAAAGTTTTCACTTAGTCTCAGATTTAAACAGCAGGCTGGCCAGGAGTGATGAAGAATGTCAATAGTTACTCCTCTAGCCATTCATGAAAGTCCTACATGTAAATCTTTGCATACACTGTGTGTAGAAGGAAACTGATGTTGTACTGCAGTAAATATCGGGGGGTTGATAGCTCCTCCTCCAATATTCATTGTTACAGGCTTTACAAATCACTTCAAAGGAAAAGTTGAGATCAGATGGTCTTGGCTCTCTGATACTCTCCAGATTTTAATGTTTTAGGGTTATTAGCAGGGGGTTCCCAGCAGGCGGCCCTTGACTTTGGATTTCATCTCCCCAGTTGTTTTTGTGGTGCCTGATTTTTGTTGACCTTTTAGGTCATGTTAAAAGGCCTATATTTTAAAGGGGGAGAAGAAAATTACATTCTTGTATGAGTAGGTTTCACAGCATTTTTTTTTCAAATGATGTTTTGATAATTTGTCCATGTTTTAATCTGAGTTTATCTTTGGACATGTAGGACCAGGGGCCACAGAAGCTGCATTTGAGGTACATGGCTGTGAGTAAGCTCAGCGTCCTGCTGAAGACTCCCGACTCTCACCAGCTTAGAGCCCTGTCAGGTTCAGACCCCGGACACTGCTATGAAGCTATTAGGCCAGCCCTAAACTAACAGCAAGTGTAAAATGAGATCCCAGCATTCAGTTTATGATGGTTACATTTTAGCTAGTGCTCAGGCTCTTACCTCCCTGTGCAACTATTCTGTGGGAAAAGCTCCTTATAGTCATTTGGCGTCTGATCCAACGTTTGTGTAAGTCAATGGAAAATTTCATTCTGCTGATGCCAATGGAATTTGGAACTGGTACTGTTTCTTGCAATGATTAACTCGTCCTGGTTGTCAAAGCTAGTAGTTTCTTTAGATAGCAAAGAGTATATAATTAACTGAAGGAAAAAATACACACCCTAATTTAAAGTAACTGGCACAGCTACCATCTCATAGCATGTGTTAATATAACTGAAATTAGGTAACCTTGTGTGAAGAAGTATCAGAGGCAAAGTGACATGAAGAAAATGGTGTGTCTAAACCCGTGGGCACTTGAAACATCCCTCTAGTAGAAACAGTTCGCATTTGAGGTTTTATCTTTCTTTTGAGGAGTTTTGACATCACGGTTGGAACATTTGGTATAGTGCTGGCTCCTGAACCCGAGGCTGACCTTGGACTTGCCTTCTCAGTGCTTTTGACCAAGTTGTCTAACCTGGCTGCACCTCACTGACACAGATGTACAAATGAAGGATGACAAGCCACAGCTTGTAACTCTGTGTGTGCCTCTACCTCTTGGGCACCAGGCTTTTCTTCTCAGACCAGGAAAGCAAAGGCACTTTTTCACCTTTAAACACTGACGAGAGCGGCAGGAGCCTTCTCAATACAAGACCAGCCCATCTTTCAGTGTTTCTACCCACAAGATTGGCTTTAGGATCTAGTTCCAGATTGTTCAATCCCAAGTAGTGTATTTTCTTTCTGGCCATACGGCTGCTTTGGACTCTACCAGTAGCCAAGACATGCACCATGGCCATGTTTCCTCATATATACATTATAACTGACCTTTCTGCCACTGGAATTAATGATCTCAGACAGCCTCAACTCCTACCATTTTTCTGAAAGCAGAATTCTTGTAGATTAACAGCGGTGCACGTCTACGTGTATTTTACCATGTGTTTAGTGTATTTATGTTCCTCATACCAGATACAATTTTTACAGCCTAGCAATTGATTTTTCCATAAAAACTGTTAATAGAGCATGGGGCAAATACTGCATTGGAAGTCCCACAGCATAACTAAAGGACATATGACACTGGTAGTTTCATCCTGCTTGCAAAATGGTGAAGCCCAATGTGAACACTGGCTAAGGTGACCTTTCTGGCATCTCAGAGCCTGTCAAGTGAGCCCATGAAACCTGCCCTTTAATGGGCAAAGTAATCACAATTACCCACCTCAGGAGAGGGAGAAGCCCATTAATCCATCTCTGTGAGCAGAGCAAAGCACCTGTGGGAAAGCCATCCAGCTATTAGTGTGAGTGGGGGTAGGTTTGGGAAAAGTGGCCTCTCTCCATTCTGTAGAGAAAAATAGCAAGTGTCCTGTTTAGAGGTAGCTATCTCCTGAACTGTCCTTTATGCAGCTCTAGATTATGTTTGTAAAGGAAGAAGATATAGTGTTGTCTTGCAGGGAAGATATTTAAGAGATAATCTAATGATTTATAGTATGTTAAACTTCTCAAGTAAGTCCAAATTTTTCAAAATTGCTAACAGTGTTCTCATGGTCTAAGAGTTTAGAAAAAGAGAAGCAACAGCAAGCTTTGGTCCTTTTGTTTTATTGCATTGTATGTTAAATATTAACTGTTGATTAAAGCATTTGTTACAATTAACAGGTTTCAACATGCTGTTTGATTTATTTTAAATATGTGGGTTTTAAAGCGAGCGAATTGGGAGTCAGCCTAGTGACTCCTGCTTTGCTACCAGAGTAGCTTCTAAAAAACAGTAGTAGTTTTTAAAAATCTTGTCAGGTTTTTAAGTGATATTCTCCTTGTACTAACTGGTTTTAGAAAAAATTCCAAAATGTGTACACTTTACTATAAAAAGCTGTTTCATTGTGTTTAGAGCATTTGGTGGGGGAGTCCCAATGTTGACAAACATTTTTAGTCTGTCCACTAAAACAAATAATAGGAGCAAAAAGGATACATTCAACTTTCTCATCTTTGCAGTTGCTAAGAAGAAGCAATTTCTTCCAGTTCACATAACACAAGACCAGACACATGAAAAATTAGACCTTTTTGTCTTAGAGCCTCAATTCACCAGCTGGTGTTCCAGTTTCTGTAGGATTATATTGTTCTGGCAAAGCAGTTGTATTGTTTTAGATTTACCTTCTGGGTGTATCAGTCAGAATGGATGGCCTGCAAATTACACCATAGCTGAGGCAGCCCTCATCATGCTTGTATTTTCAAAAGTTGTTATTTCTTACTTATTTATGTAGTTGTTTGTTATCACACTGTAGTGATGTGTGAACCTCACTGTGCAAGGCATGCACACGTTTATTTAAAGCAGTGGGCTCTTCCCCAGAGACCTGATAGTCTGGCCATTGAAGAGGAAGGCAAATCTTTAATCAACATTGCATGTGTTGAAGATTACAGAAATACAAGGCATTCGGAGAGGTTCACAAAGAACAGGACTTGAATCAACATTCATGAGAAGTGTGGTTTTTTCCAGGGTTGGAGGTTTTTTCACATAGGCCAAAAAAATAAAGCTTAACAGGATTTTTGCTGTTTCATGTCTGCTTCTTTTTTTTTTTTTTTTTTTTTTTTTTTTTTTTTTTTTTTTTTTTTTGTCAGGGGACGTGGGTTATTCGCATTTACTAATTGTTTACATTCATTCTAGATGGGATACACTCCTTTGCATGTTGGCTGCCACTACGGAAACATAAAAATTGTTAACTTTCTCCTGCAACATTCTGCAAAAGTTAATTCCAAAACGAAGGTGAGTTTTCCGCCTTTGCCTCACTCATTCTGTAGAGGTGGGTTGTGCACCGTGCCCACTGCAGCCTTTCCCTTTCCCTGTGCCTGCAGAACGGGTACACGCCGCTGCACCAGGCTGCGCAGCAGGGGCACACCCACATCATCAACGTCCTGCTCCAGCACGGCGCGGCACCCAATGAGCTCACTGTGGTAAGTGCTGGGGGTTCGGCCACAAGGCTGCAGCTTTCCTCGGGCTCAACAGTCCCAGCCTGCTTAAAGCATTTGAGCAAGGGAAATGTAGAAAAAAATGTGTGCGGTGGGAGAGGAAAAGAGCAGAGGAAGCCTATTAACCATCGCCCCCGCATCCTCTATGCAATCATCTCTTCCAAAACTAGAACAGCAAACGTCTGAAAATGTTTTCATTTTCATCCCATTTCTGTAAAGAGTTAAAAACTTATGGTTATGTATCCTACTGCCCAAAATATATTTATTTCAGTCACCAACATGCAAACATTTATTTGGCTTTTATTGTGCATTCTTCTACAGTTAATTTGCAGTTTCTACACTTTTCCTTGCTAACATTCAACTTTTGTTACAAATGTTTCAATTGCTAGAATGGAAACACTGCCCTGGCAATCGCTAAGCGACTTGGCTACATTTCAGTTGTTGACACATTGAAGGTGGTGACAGAAGAGACCATGACTACAATTGTAAGTACAGTTTAGTTCAGCAGTGAATGGAACAATTTTTCCTAAGCCAGTGTATTCAGCTTTGTTTAGTTACATGTCTACTGGGATTTTGGTTTAATTTCCACCTATTTCCTTTTAGCAGTATAAAGTGGATATGAAGTCAAATATGATCTAATATGAGCACTTTTAAGGTAGTAGACATTATTGGTATGTATGCAGAAAGAGGACCAACTGAGCAGAAAATGGACAATGTAATTGACTGGTTGTAGCTGCCATGTTTTTCCACACATCTTGTTTAGGCAACAAACCACACTTTTTTTTTTTTTTTTTTTTTTTTTTTTGTAGTTGAATAGACATTCCTACAGACTTTTGTAAATAGAAGTAGCTTCAGCCTTTTGAGAGGATTTGCCAAGGGACTGATGTATAATGGCTTGTATTAGAGAACCTATTCCAATCTAAGAAGTGTTTGGAATTTACTTAAGGACACCTCAATATACGGTTTCTGGCTTCTTCTGAAAGATGGTGAAAGGCTGTTTTGTGCAAGCAGCCACAGTCAGCTCCTGCAACCCCAGATATCCATTCACTGACATATACCTGAACTCCTGCTCATCTGTCTTGCCTCTCAGGAAGGTTTATTGAAGTCTTAGCCAGGAGAGATTAGAGGGGCTAGCAACGGTCAGTTACTTGCTATCAGAAAAATGGTGATTCACAGAATTAAAAATATTTCTCAGGAAGATCTTTTGTTCACTAAAGTTCTGCCAAATTGCTCTATGAAGAAAACAGATTTGTGAGGTGAGGAGCCTCCATGCACCACCATAATTGTAAAGCAAAAATTGAATCTTAAGAACATAAATTCAGAGCATTGGATCCAAATTAGCTTTTTCCTTTCTGAAACTTTTTTTTTTCTGATTAAAAAGAGTACATATGTGCACATATGTATTTTTAGGCATATCAGAGACAGAAAACAGTTACTGTGTATTCCATGTTTTGTCATCACCCATTTGTGTGGTCTATCAGTGCAAGCAGGTGGCTGCAATACGATGAGCATTTGGGATGACAAGCAGATTTTAGCTCTGCTACCACATGTGCCTTTTCTCCTTGTGACTTTCCTGGCTGTGGTCTGTAGTTCAGCAGCTTAGAGAAGATCCACTGCGCAAAAGACAAATTTCATAACAATAAAATATAGATGAATATGCCAGAAAATACTCATTATTTTTTCTTACAGCTTTTCTCTATGTTTTCTCAGGAACACATTTCTCTCTCAAAAGATTCCAAAAGAGTTTTCCACAACCTGAAAAATTTTATGGAGAAGATTGTACAGGGTAGAATAAACTTGAATGATTACCTCGTATACAACTAGGTAGCTGCAGTGTGATGGGTTTGCCCTTGGCTGGGGGCCAAACCACAGACCCACTCACCCAAATCTACCCCCTCCCCCACCCCCACCCGAGGACAGGGGAAAGAATTAAAGGGGTAAAGGGAAAAAAGGACTCGTGGGTTGAGATAAGAACAATTTAATAACTAAACTACAATAATATTGAAAATAATGCTATATACAAATATACAAATGAGTGCTACACAGTGATACGGCCCCCACACTCGATGACCAAGGCTCAGCCTGTTCCCAGCTAATGATCCCGGAGCAGGGAGAGTCCCGAAACCACACTCATGGAATGGAGATAACAGTCCGAGCGTCCCAGACTGAGAGCTGACCAGGGTGTGGAGGGGGGGAGGAGGAAGGCCTTGGATGACCAGGAGCAAAACAGATCCGGAACCAAAAGGGCCGATCTTCCAGGGGTCCTCACCTATATACTGGGCATGACGTGTGTGTTATGGAATAGATTATTGGCCACTCCGGGTCTCAATCCCAAACCTAAGATCAAATCCTGGGCTAGTAACTGGGGCTGTGCTCCCTCCCAGCTTCTTCTGTTTGCAGACAGACAGAGAAGCTGAAAGACCTTGGCAGCTGCGTAAACATCACTTTTTATCAGCTTTCTTCTGAGCACAAATCCAAAACACAGCCTCTTGCTAGCTATTATGAAGAAAGTTAACTCTGTCTTAGCTTAACCCAGGACATGCAGGAAAAGTAAAACCACATTTTTATGCTAAGAACTCCCAATATTACAAGGTCATTCTTAGCGTGTAGAACCAAGAAGCTAGGGGAGTTTGTGCTGCATAAGATGACTGATCATTTATGTTCTGTAGATGAAGAAGACTAGAGAGATGATGGGTCAGGCTGTGAATTGTGCTAGAAGAAATGTTAGATGCTGAAAAGCCTATACTACTCCATACACATACTCTCAAGAGAAGCTGAGAAATAATTTACATTAAAATCAAAATACGCTGCTTATCAGTCACAAGTGTGTAATTGTCAGAGTTTGCAAGTCTAGATATGAAAGCTGATTTACAATTGAGAGTAAAAAAAATTCACATAGATAAAGCCTGTTCCCAAATTGCAGCACTTTTCTAATGACAAAAGAGAAATAATTCCCTCAGAAAACTTAGTTTAAGTAGACATGACATATTCCTGGACAAAATTTAGATGACTATTTAAAGAGTTCTTATTAAACCCCTTAACATGAAACACTTTTCAGTGTATTTGATTCTTCTTTTGGTATCATAATCTTCTAGGCTTTCAGATTATACTTTTCTGCTGTGAAAATATCAATATAGTTTAAAACACAAATATAGTGTTACTTATTTCTGGAGTCTTTCTTAATGTATAATTCAATGCATCTATAAAAAGGAAAGTGAATAAAAAGCTAAAAAAAATCTTATTTTGCTAACTGCAGATAAAAAATTATTTTAATTTTTAAAATTAGTATAATTTTAAGAAAAGTGATTTCTGCACTCTGAAATTATTTTTTTTTCTTTGACAGACTGTTACAGAAAAGCACAAAATGAATGTACCTGAAACCATGAATGAAGTTCTTGATATGTCTGATGACGAAGGTATTAAAAAATAAAAAACCCTCTTGCTTATTTTTGTCTTTTGTTGTTCTAAGAAATGTTTGTTTAAAAAAACCCCAACAAGCAAACAGTATTAGTTGGATATAGTCTTTGCACGTTCATTATTGGTTTACATTGATTGTTTTGTTGACGTATAGATAGTCTATGCTTTTGTTTAATTTTTTTGTTTATTTAAATCATGCAGTTCGTAAAGCCAATGCCCCCGAAATACTCAGTGATGCTGAATATTTGTCAGATGTTGAAGAAGGTATTTGTGCATTCTTGTATTGCAGTGTTATTTAACTTAACCCTCTTCCTTATATTTCATCTGTATGAAAATTAATCCTTTCAGCTAACTTTCTTATAACCCCACTAACAATGATTTCTGCTTTATAATTAAGAATGCTTTCAAAAATTCTTTGAACTATTGCTGATAATCTAACTTTTTCTGAATCTCTTACTCCTACTCCCAATTTTTTAGTAAAATTACCCCAGCTTCCCTGGAGTAGTCCTTTTGCTGCTGCTTCTATAAAGTGGAAGATTGTTTTATTATTGTAACTGAAAAATTAAATGTTGGACAAACAGGTCAAATATTAAACTGCTTTGGAAGAAACAGCTGATAGTGAAAATGAACAGCAGAAGGAAATAGTTTTTTGTTGTTTTGTTTTGTTTTTTTTAAATTCTGGTGTGGATTCAGCTCTGAAATGGTTGATTTAAATTGATGGTGGACCCTTTGCCTGGAAGGAAGTATTTTCAGGGTTTTTTTGTTTTGTTTTGTTTTTTAAATAATCTTTCAGTCATGATATTCAGTAAAAACACATGAGATTACTTTTGTCCTGAATAAAGAGGGTGCTGCATTGGACTCCACATGTTGGTGTTTGTTGGTATCAAGGAAGTACCTTGTAGCTGAGATTTCACCTGTATCATCCTGCAGAGTGACATGAAATCTCTGTGTGGCAATAGAGCCCTGTGTTTTCAGGGCCTCTAAATGAGTCTCCTGACACAGCGGGATTAGGTTCCCAGTTGACATTCAGAAAAGGGAAGGTCTTGAGTTGGTGAAGAGGATGACAGTGTCATGAAGGCGTTTTTCTGTGTCCTGATTCACTTGCCCTAGAGCTGCAGGTTTTTCTTCTCTAGTAAGGAACCAGGTTCAACTTGGTTGAATTTTCTTGTGCTTCTTTGGTTAGTCTCTCTTTCTTAATCTCTAGTGATATATTTACTTTTAATTTTGATAGCAATTAAACAGTAAGGTGTACAAGCTATTTAGCAAAGTTCATTGCATACAGCTCTTGTTTAATTAATGCATTGATGCTTTCATTTGATTTTCAGTTTGTTGTGTTCCCATTGGTGCAGTTCCAAATGGACAGTATTCTTACCATACACCTGTGTTTTACAAATAACTCTTAGGCTACTTTAATGCTCAAAATACGGCATAGTTTTAACTGGCTGGAACACTGATGCATAGTAATGGTAGTTAATAGAGCAGTAACTATTGCCATACTCCACTGCACAGCATGTGGCAAGGTACAGGTGAGAGACACTCCTATACGGAACCTGAATATTAGAACCAAAGATGTAAAATGTGTCTCTTAATGTACGGGACCATTTTTAAGGCCAAATCTGTGGAAGATTTTTGTTGTCACTAACTCTCAGTTTAACAAAAAACAAACCAAACCAAAAATTACAAATGTAGGTAATAGAATTGGTTCCTTACCTAGAGACTGTATTCTGCACCCATGTTGTTACTGGGGCAGCTAAGAGACTGGTTTATATATAACAGGGTCATTTTCAAACCTAACACTGAAAGGGAGCTTTCAAGTCAAATAATCAGTATTTTATTAATCTGTGCTGAAGCATTCTAGTGTGCAAGGCATGCGACGAACTACAGGCTTTGAGGCAATAACCACTGTCTGGTATCTCTTCCCTGACTTGCACATCTGTAAGGACAATATACCTATACCCAGCCCCACAACTCGGTGTTGGTAGGGTTTTTATATACAATGCATCCACTTACATCAAAATAAATATGTTCAAGATGGTAAAGATCTCTAACAAATCTCATGGCCAGGGAGACAATTTCCAAGTAAGAGAAGAGCACAAATTTACCACCAAATCTGAGCTCTCCCTTACTTGGCTAACACTCGTGTAATCAGACAAAACTCTTCAGGGAGAGAAACTTGTTTAATGATTTCTCAATATGCCACATAAGAGAAAAAGAAGGCTTGGAAAGCAGTGTCTCAGAGCTCAGAGACAAATGTCAGCAAACCGATTCCTTGTGTTTATGTCTTCCTGTGCCCACTAAATAAATATTTACATGGAAATTGTATAATTTCTCTTCCCTGCCGAGGACAGTTTGGTTTGGAGTCAGACTGGTTGAGATCTTTTCTTCTGTTTCCTAGAGTACTCTGGCAAATCTGCCCAAATGAGGTTAAGTGCTGGGGAACTGCTACACTGCAAAAAAAGAAATGGTGGTTTTTTGAAATATATGAACATGATTTTGTGGGGAAAAAAATGAAGGCTCATCTTCATATGTAGCAGAAAGTTTGTAGAAGAATACAGAGCAATTCCGATGCAACTGAATATCTTTTCTGCTTTTATTTTTAAAGAGATTGCAAATCTTGGAAGATCCATTGCAAATCTCTGAGACTGCAAAGACTGGGTCTTTCCTGTTGCTGTCTCCAGATGCAAGCTCACACGCCATGCCCTATGCAGCTGGGAGCCCCAACACTGCAACCTGGTGGGGAGCCAGAGTCAGCCATGCTAAAGCATGACCCAAGCTGTCTGTGGGAGGCTTGGAGGGAATCCCCTCCTCTGCAGTCACATCTTCAGCATCCTTTTGGGCTGGTGCAAGAGCTTTAATCTGATGTAGGAAGCTGGAGTCCTGCTGTGACTGCCACAACCCAGCAATGAGCTCTTTCACAACAGCCCCCTCCAAAAGCTGCCACAAAGAGGGGTGAGATTGTATGAGCAGCAAACGGAAAAAAATACAAACAAAAAAAACCAGTTCAGGTGTTGAGCATTTAGACAGGCATTGTCAAGAAACACTTATTGTTGAGCTTTTGATTGTTTTTATTTGGTCTTCAGTAGATAACAAACTTTGGGTGTAAACAAGGACCCTTTTAAACCCATTTAGTGGAGATTCCTCTCTCAGTAGGAGTAAATCTCTTACTAATCAATCCCTGGCAGATTAGACAGATGTCCTAATAGGCCATGAGTGCACACTGCCTGATCCCCTGGTATGTTCTGAGATACAGCAGTTTAAGTGCGTTTAAGATGGGTCAGGGCATCCTCATGCGTGGGAGTCTGTTATTGATCATTTTAGGGGGGGTTGATTCATTACGTTATTATGCCCAGAGTTTTCTGAGTTTGTGTCTCTGTAAAATTGTATGGATTCATAAAAGTTTCAGTGGTTTGGTATTGGCTTTTCTCCATACTTGTGTGAAACCAGAACCTTGGCTACAACTAGAAGCATCCTGCTCTTCCCTGTGGCTGTACCTCTTCTGCCATCATGCAGCTCTGGAGTGACAAGGGAGTGGCAAAAGCTTCAGGGATCTTTATCAAAGCTAGTGAGAAATGCCCCTTTTGGATCCTAGGCTATGATTAAATTTTGCTTGAGACTCTTCCCAAGCCACATGATGCCTCCTCTCCTGCAGCCAGAGAGCCTGTATTTCTCACTGGCCTCTAAAAAGAGCACCTACCCTGCACTCTTGCATTTCCCCACAGTAGAAGACATGCTGAGGGACCAGAAAAATGGGGAAAACAGGAAAAGGTGACAAAGGTGGTAAGAGGCATAGAAAAGCTTCTTGGGGAGGAAAGAGAATAGGACTGTCTAACCCAGGGCAAAAAAGCTGAATAAGGGATAGGCTAGAACATATAAAAATAGTGGGTGGCAAAGTGAGCAGTAATGCTTGCTGCCTCTCCAGAAGTCCAAGAACATGGGGCATCAGTGAAACCAAAAAGAGGCAGATCCAGATTAAAAGGGCTGCTGTTCCTGCAACAGTTGGTTGCATTGTGTGACTCCTTGCACACATCCTTGGCACGGGGAATGCAAAAAGGTTACACAAATTCAAAGTGTAACTGGAAGAATTTTAAAAGGGGGAAAAAAATACTGGTTCATGACTACACAAACCTCTTGCATGTTTACAAAATATGTACTTAAATAATCGACAGCTAGAAGAATGTCCTGGAGCACTTCCATTGTTCCATGTTCTTATATTCTTCTGTGAAGTGTGGCTGCTGACAGAGAAAGGGTATACTAGGACTGATGGTCCTTTGCTTTCACCTACTGCCGCTCTTCTCTGCTGGATTTTGAGCAGTTTCCTACACTTATGATAGCGATGTTTGCCTACTGTTAACAGGGACATACTTTTTCTTCAGTATGTAACATATTATGAAGGGAAGGATGGCAGTTGCAGCAAAACAGTGCGGTATTCTCCTTCTTTGGTGTTTCTTCATCGGTGCCTCACTTCTCAGTCATTCCTCTATTGTTTGTGTTCAGAGATTAATTTTGTCATCGCTTTTCCATGGGATCTCCCTCTGCAGGAATACAGTGTGCTGTGAGCAAACACTGCTTGTTACCTGAAACGCGGAGGATTAGGCTGTGGCACCTAATTAAACAGCGCAGGATAGCTGAAACATGCACCACCCATTTTGCTCCAGCCTCCCACAATCACAAAACAATGTCTGGAATCCTTTGAAATTACCACTCCTAGATACAGCTTTTCCTTTGATGAGAGCATTTCATCAGAGTAATCCTGCTCTGGCTGCATTAGCTGCAGAGCAGGATAGCATCTCATGTATTTTGCAGCTCGCCTGGAATAGCTTTTTCTCATTCTCTACCTTGCTTTTGACAAACGACGCTCCTAAAGAAAACACCTTGGCTGTTCCTTCCCGTGGCGCAGCACTCGCCTTCAGGTGTTGTAAGGGTAGAACTTCCCAAATTTCCTGGCCCACTTAGAAGATGCTTAAAGCTGCCCGTGTCCTCTTTGGGTCACTTCCTCACTCTCCAAGCCGCAGTCCCATTTTCC